GCCAGGCGCAAGCTAAATGCTGCACTCTTCTACCGCAGCCCCTGTCACGGAGTTCAGGAAACCAAGGCTCAGCAAGAACTTTAGTTCAACAGCTCTTAGCTGCCACATCCAAGACTTGATTCCCATCCGATTCAGAGGCAGAGCTCTGAACCACTGCTCTCGCATGCACCCAAATGCAAACGCTAGCATTAAGAGTCTCGCGAAACAAAAATCTTTTCCCTTCGGCCGAGTGCGGTGGCTCCCGCCTGTAATCCCCGCACTTGGAGAGGCCAAGGCGGGTGGATCACCTGAGGCCAGAAGTTTGAGACCAGCCCGGCCAATATAGTAAAACCTTGTCTCTACTAAAAATACAAAAATTAGCAGGGCGTGGTGGTGCACACCTGTAATCGCAGCTACTGAGGAGGCTGGGGCACGAGAATCGCTTGAATCTGGGAGGTAGAGGTTGCAGTGAGCTGGGATCATGCCACAGCACTCCAGTCTGGGCGACAGAGCAAGACTCTATCTCAAAAATAAAATAGAAACAAAAATATTTTCTTTTGGAACCGCATAGCCTGAAACGATCCTAGGCAGGCGGAGAGGGCTGGTGGAGCGCACGACCCCACAGAAGCCCTCAGACAAGGCAGCCTCGACATCCCCGGCCGGCTTCCCGCCCTCGCTGCGGGCTCTCCAGGCCCCTTTAGACCTCCCAGGCTACAGGACTCAGTCGGGTCCGCACTAACGACAGGCCGGGGACTGCGAAACGTGAGCCAGCCGCGGGGACGGGGGATTGAGGGAGTCCCTCCCCTCCTACATCTGCGGGTCCACTCCTCTCGAACATGCCCAGTCCGCGCGGAGGGGGCGCATGCACTTACGTGACCCCGGTCTCGTCGTGGTCGTCTGGAAAATGGGCTTCGGCGTGATGCTCGCCGGACCCTGACACCACGAGGGAAATTTTAAGCAGAACCCCAGCTTTGGCACTCAGGATGGGTCAGCCCCGCCGCAGCTACTCACGGTCTTCCGGTTTGGACCGGAAGTGCCTGCTGGTGAGGCAGGAAGTCCCACCTCCCAGCCAGGCCTCTTAGGGTCCTGGCGCGCCCCCTCCCGGGAGGAGAGGGAACGGGCGTGCAGGCGGCGCGTGGGCTGCGGAAATAAAGCTCCCTCGAGTTCCAATAGTGGAGGCCGGGTGGACTTAGGTTCGAATCCCACATCTGCTTCATCAATTTCCTCAGCGTTGTATTAAATTAATCATTTAACGAACTCTCACGGAGCACCTACTATAAGCCAGACACTGTATTAGTCAGTAGGTATCCTACTGATTGTCCTTAAATCCCAAGAAGCGGGCTTCACAAATAAGGGTACAAATACCTCCTAAGAGTGAGGCTTTTCCAGGGGTGGTCGTGCAGGGAGAGCTTTAGGCAGTGGTCCTCAAACTCTAGCTAGTGTGCGTCAGCATTAGCACCTGGGGGGCTTGTTAAAACACAGTCTCCAATTCGGTGAGTCTGGGGCCTGATAATTTGCCTAAGTTCCCAGGTGATGCTGATACTGCATATCTGGGGCACATGCTGTAAGAACCGCTGTCCAGTCATAAACCTTACCATTATCCTAACATAGTAGTTCTCAAACTTGAGTGAGCCTTAGAACCACCTGGGGGACTTGTTATAAGTATGCTGGGCTCCACCCTACCTCTGCCCCCCGATTTGCTAATTCAGTAGGTCTGGGATGTGGCCCAAGAGTCTGCATTTCTAGCAAGTTCCCAGATGGTGCTGGTCCAGGGGCCATACTTTGAGAACCGTTGCTTCAAATAATCAATTTCCAAATTCTCAGCTGTCATCTGTATCTTTATTTATTTATTTTTTTGAGATGGAGGCTAGAGTGCAGAGGCGTGACCTCGGCTCACTGCAACCTCTGCCTCCTGGGTTCAAGCAATTCTCCTGCCTCAGCTTCCCGAGTGGCTGGGATTACAGGCCTGCAGCACCATGCCCGGCTAATTTTTGTATTTTTAGTAGAGGTGGGGTTTCACCATGTTGGTCAAGCTGCTCGAACTCCTGACCTCAAGTGGTCCGCCTGCCTTGGCCTCCCAAAGTGCTGGGATTACAGGATGAGCCACCGTGCCTGGCCTATATATTTTTTTTCTGGAAGTTTTTACCTGGACTAAAAGTGTCAGCAGGGCTGTGTTCCTTTTGGGAGGTTCTAAGGAAGAGTCCACTGTGTTGCCCTTTCTGGCTTCGGGAAGCTGCCTGTGTTCCTTGGCTCATGACCCCTTTCCATCTTCGAAGCCAGCAATGCCAGCTGGATTCTTCTCATGAGGCCATCTCTCTGGTTTTGAATCTTCTGTCTCCCTCTTTCCCATGTAAGGACCCATGTGATTATAGTGGGCCCACCCAGGTAATCCAGGATAATCTTCCTATGTTATTTATTTTTTTGAGACAGGGTCTCACTCCATTGCCCAGGCTAGGGTGCAGTGGTACCATCATGGCTCACTGCAGCCTCAACTTCCCAGGCTCAGATGATTTTCCCACCTCAGTCTCTCGAGTAGCTGGGATTACAGGCACGCGCCACCATGCCTGGCTAATTTTTTTTTTTTTTTTTTTGAGACAGAGTTTCACTCTGTCACCCAGGTTGGACTGCAGTGGTGCGATCTTGGCTCACTGCAACCTCCGTCTTCCAGGTTCAAACGATTCTCCTGCCTCAGCCTCCCGAGTAGCTGGGATGACAGGTGCCCGCCACCACACCCAGCTAATTTTTCTATTTTTAGTAGAGACAGGGTTTCACCATATTGGCCAGGCTGGTCTTGAACTCCTGGCCCTTTGATCCACCCGCCTCGGCTTCCCAAAGTGCTGAGAATACAGGCGTGAGCCACCGCGCCCAGCCTAATTTTTGTAGTTTTTGTTGAGATGGGATTTCATTATGTTGCCCAGGTTGGTCTTGAACTCCTGGGCTCAAGCTACCCTCCTACCTCAGCTTCCCAAAGTGCTGGGGTTACAGGCATGAGCCCTATTTTAAAGTCAGCTGATTAGCAACCTTACTTCCACCTGCAACCTTAATGCCCCCTTGCCAAATAATATACTCATAGGTTCTGGGGATTAGGCTGTAGGCATCTTTGGGGGAACGATTATTTTGCCTACCACACTAATATTCTATATTACCCTTATAAAACACCTATCCAGCTCTGGCACTGGTAGGCCAATTCCATTTCTTCCTTCCCTCCTTTCTCTGAATAAGCCATTATCAATTTGCTTTTGTAACTGACATATACTTAACATGCAGTAAAGCACACAAGTCTTAAATGTACAACTCATTGAGTTTTAATACATACATAGAAACCCACATAAACACCACCCAGATCAAGACAGAGAACATTTCTATCACTCAAGAAAGTTCCAGCCAGGCACAGTGGCTCATGCCTGTAATTCCAGCACTTTGGGAGGCTGAGGTGGGAGGGTTGATTGAGTCCAGGAGTTCAAGACCAGACTGGGCAACATAGCAAGACCCCCATCTCTACAAAAAAAAATTTTTTTTAAAGAAAATTCCCTGGCACCACTTTCCGGTCAATACTTCCTTAAAGAAGGAACCACTGTTTGGACTCTTATCACCATAGATTAGTTTTGCCAGTTCAAGAACTTTACATAAGTGGAATCATGGAGAGGATGTGTCTGGCTTCTTCTGCACCCTGTGCCTAATAGATTCACCTGTGTTGTGCACGCAGCTGTTGGTTCCTTTTTAAATTACTGAGTCGTGTTCCATTGTATGAATATACCACCATTTACTTGTTCACGCAACCTCCTGTTGGTGAGCGCTTGGGGCATTATTGGGTTTGATGACTTTGTGGAAGTCTCTCTGTGGATATGTGCAGCCCTCAGTCCATTTCTGGACATCTGCTGTGCTGTCCCTTCTCTCTCCTGGGCCTCATCCCACTCTCTGGGCTGCACACACACACAAAATGGAATTGTTCTTCCTGATGTCAATCCTTGACATGTTGAGGAGGCTGACTACCCAGCCCACCACACCTGCTCCTCCCAAGTCAAAGGTTCTGGGAGGATTCCACCACCTGCTCATTATATGCCCCAGCACGCTCACTGTGACAATCCTGGTGAGCGCTGATAGGCCCAGCTTCAGCAGCAGCAGCAGCAGCAGCAGCAGCAGCAAGCACTGTGACAAATCTTACAGACACCGGTCATGCTTTCCCAAGTAAGTGGCTACTGTAAGACTCAGTTAAACGTGCAGCCTCCTTCAAGCAAATACGCGTTGCATCACAGTAAGCCTCGTGTAAATTGTCTTCATCCTTGTATTCATCTTATTTTTCCTATTTCTCTTGATCTCTAGCTCCTCACTTTAAACAATTGTTATCTTGTGGTATTTTTATGAATCAACTCAAAATCCCTTCTTGGGGGGAAAAAGGCAGAGTGTCAAATGGCTATTTAATTTTTTTTTTTTTTTTGAGGCAGAGTCTTGCTCTGTTGCCCATGCTGGAGTGCAGTGCCACAATCTCAGCTCACTGCAGCTTCTGCCTCCCAGGTTCAAGTGATTCTTCTGCCTCACCCTCCTGAGTAGCTGGGACTACAGGTGTGCGCCACCACGCCAGGCTACATTTTGCATCAAATGGCTAATTCTTAGCTTGAGAGCACTTCTGTTTGACTTCAGAAAGGCCTGCAGTGAAATTTTATAGCGTGGATTCCAATGACCCTGCTGACAGTGTGAACCCGAATTCCTGTGTTGAAGTCTCCAGGCTCAGCCAGTGAAGCAGCTGAGCAGCCTATGATGTGGAGGTCCCTAGGGGCCTACGGCAGGCGCCAGAGAGTGGAACTGGACCTGAGGCCCCCAGATCCTCCTCCCCCGCCTTCAAGGCTCCGCGACCACCCACGGTTAGAGAAGCAGCTGCTAGAGCAACCCCTCACCCACCTGCCGGAACTTCCGTTCAGGCAGTGAGACGTTGGCCTCAGCCATAAGCATCCAAGCCGCCGCGGTTGGGAGACTAGCTTTCCCATTGGCAGGATGCACTGTCCGTCAGAGACCTAAGGGCTCTCATTGGCCAGCGGTGTGGCAGGGGTGGAGCGCACCATGCTTGTCCACGTGGTCCCCACGTGAAGGAACCCGCCCTGCGCGTGTGAAAGGGCGAGAGCAGCGCGAGATAGGGCCCAGAGCCTCAGATCTTTGTTGGCGACCATGGCTTCGGCTTCTCAAGGCGCTGACGACGGCAGCCGCAGGAAACCCCGCCTGGCTGCCTCGTTGCAGATCAGCCCCGAGCCCCGCCCCTGGCGACCACTACCCCCTCAGGCCCAAGGTGCCTGGGAGCCCGCGCCCGCGATGGACCACGCGGAGGGCGGGCAGCCCCAGGTCTCGGTGTTGAGGGACAGTGGGCCTGGGGCAGGGGCCGGAGTCGGGGAACTGGGGGCAGCCCAGGCGTGGGAAGACTTGGGGGAACAGATGGGGAGGACCCCGAGGGTCCCTGTGCCCCCCGCAGGGCTGAGCCTGCCGCTCAAAGACCCACCTGCCAGCCAGGCCGTGTCCTTGCTCACGGAGTACGCGGCCAGCCTGGGCATCATCCTGCTCTTCCGGGAGGACCAGCAACCAGGTGAGGCCGGGCCGGGGCGTGGGTGTGCCAGAGGACAGAGCCGCGGAGGGCTGGGTCCCAGGACGTGGGGAGGGGGTCTGAGGAAGGTGGGCCTTGGTCCCTATGCTCAGAGACACCGCCAGAGCAGGACCTGGCCTGAGCCTGAGACCTCGGGGTGGACCCTGCTGTGAGCAGCGGTCTCCAAGCATCACCAGCCACACCAGATGCTCAACTGTGGCAGGGTCACGGCAGGTGAACGTTCTCTCCACCTGAGGTCCAGGGAGACTGAGGCCCCTTGGTATTTCTGCATACGTTTTTAGAGCCACTTACACGCAATTTAAGTTGCCATGCCGGCATTGGAGATACCGGAAGGAGAGCCACTCCCGTGACTTAAAGTTAAGCAAAGCTTGGTAAATGTAACACCGTGTGTATGATACAGAGGTAAACCGTTATTTCCTCTTCTTCAGTACATACCCCTCAAACTCCTTGACTCAGTGTTTGTGTGTGTGTGTGTGTGTGTGTGTTTAAGCTGGGGTCTTACTCTATTGTCCAGACTGGAGTGCAGTGGAACAATCTTGCCTCACTGTAGCCTCTGCCTCCTGGGCTCAAATGATACTCCTGCCTCAGCCTCAGCCTCCCGAGGAGCTGGGACTACAGGTGGACTCCACTACACCTGGCTAATTTTTTTTTTTTTTGTAGCGATAATGTGGTTTTACCATGTTGCCAAGATTGGTCTTGGAAATCCTGGGCTGAAGCTATCTGCCCGCCTAGGCCTCCAAAGTGCTGAGATTACAGGTGCGAGCCGCCACACTTGGCCCAGGGTTTTAATTTAAAAGTTAATTGCAGACATTATGCTCCTTACCTATAAGACATTATGCTCCTTACCTGTAAATACGTTCACGTGTTTGTGTGTGTGTGTGTGTTTTTTGTTTGTTTGTTTTTTTTTTTTGAGACGGGGTTTCACTCTTGTGGCCCAGGCTGAAGTACAGTGGCACGATCTTATCCCACTGCAACCTCTGCCTCTCGGGTTCAAGAGATTCTCCTACCTCAGCCTTCCAAGTAGCTGGGATTACAGGTGTCCACACCAAGCCCGGCTAATTTCTTTTTGTATTTTTGGTAGAGATGGGGTTTCACCATGTTAGCCAGGCTGGTCTCAAACTCGTGACCTCAAGTAATCCGCCCATCTTGGCCTCCCAAAGTGCTGGGTTACAGGCTAGAGCCACCTTACCCAGCCCTCTTTTTTTTTTTTTTTTTTTTTTCCTTTGAGAGAGTCTTGCTCTGTTGCCTAGGCTGGAGTGCAGTGGTAAGATCTCAACTCACTGCAACCTTTGCCTTTTGAATTCAAATGATTCTTGTGCCTCAGCCACCTGAGTAGCTGGAATTACAGACTTGTGCCGCCGTGCCCAGCTAATTTTTTTGTGTTTTAGTGGAGATGGGTTTCACCACGTTGGCCATGCTGGTCTTGAATTCCTGTCCTCAGCCCCCCAAAGTGCTGGGATTACAGGAGTGAGCCACTGTGCTCAGCCTCATATATATTTCTTAAGAACAATGGCATCTGTTATGTAACTACAATACGATTATCAAATCCTGGAAATTTAACATTGATATACTACGATCTTCTAATTTCTATTCACATTCAAATTTTGCCAGTTGTCCCAGTAATGACCTCGTGGCCATTTTCTCCCACCCCAGTATGACATTACAGTTAGTTGTCATGCCTCTTTAATCTCTTACCTGAAACAGTTCCTGTCTTTGTCTTTCACAATATTGATGTCTTTGAAGAGTAAGGGCTGGTAGTTTTGCACATGTCCTTCAGCTTGGGTTTGTTTTCTCGGGACTGAGTTCAGGTGATGTGTTATTGAAGTGATGTCGAGTCCTTGGCCACGCATCTCACCGGGAGGTTTGTAATCTTGGTTTGTCCCCTGGCTATGTGACCTGCGGGGATTTGACTCGGGTTGCATCTACCAGGTGTCTTCACTTTCTTCTTTGTGCTAAATAAGTCATCCAGGGGCATTTGGAGATCTTGTAGATATCCTGTCCCCATAACATTGTCACTTGTGGTTTTAGAAAATCATGCTTTGATGGTTCTCCCCAGATTCAGTCGCTGTTAGGATGGCAGCCACGTGCTGGTTTTCTAAGGTCAACATCCCTTCCATGTCTGTCTGTGGTTGCTGGTTGTGATGCCCGTTTAGAGCAGACAGATCTCAGTGCTAGTGAGGAGTGCTGAAATGGGCTCCCTTCCAAAAGGGAAGTCCCCAGAGGGGCAGTGCTTGGGAGAAACAGTTTAGCAGCAAGTACTGTGAAATTAAATAAGCCTGCACCTTTGACCATGTGATCCCAGCTCCAGATTTTTCATCTATCTCTTTTGTGTTATAAGTAACACCCAAAATGATACTGTTTCATAGAAAAGGTGTTCAAATACAGGGCCACTGGAGGAGAGGAAATAAAATCAATGTGTGTGTGGCAGGTGGAAGTGCTTGGTGGCTTCCTCCTGAGAACAGGGTGGCGTGGGCTCTGGAGAGGGGACCTGGATATGGGTCCTGACACAACTTGGGCAAACTGCCTGCCCTTTCTGCTCATCTGTGAAATGGAGTCACGCATCCCTGTTGTAGAGGAGTTGGGCGAGGACTTGGTTGAGTCAACGATGGGTCACAGCCTGCAGAGGCACTCAAGGGTGTGCGGGGCATGGGGTGGAGTAAGGGAAGGGCAGTCAGGGTCTCGTTACTCTGGCTGTCCTCGATGTCAGGTGTCAGGAGGAGGCAGAAGTGGTACCTGTCACAGGGCCAAAGGCCGGGTGGCTTCTTCCTCACCTTGCTCCTTCCCCAGGTCCCTGCTTCCCCTTCTCTGTGAGCGCGGAACTGGATGGGGTGGTCTGCCCTGCGGGCACTGCAAACAGCAAGACAGAGGCTAAACAGCAGGCAGCGCTCTCTGCCCTCTGCTACATCCGGAGTCAGCTGGAGAGCCCAGGTAATGAAGGGAGGGCCAGGCAGCTGAGCCGCAGCTGGGGACAAGAGGCCCGAGGCCGGCAGTCCTGTGGGGAGGCTGAAGTGGCTGTGCATGTGGGCAGGAGGTGGGTTGCTGCACGAACCATCTGGGCATCAGGACATTACCTGCAGGGAGCTGGGGCGGGGGACAGGTGCCGGTCCCTGCTTTCATGTCCTCTGGGGACACTGGGGGTAGGGACTGCTAGAAGAGCAGCTCATGGAATGTCCTGTGTCTGGAAGATGAAAACTGCCTCTCCCCTGTTCCTTGGCTTCCTGAGGGGTGGAGGGTGTGCCTTGGCACCCACACCAGCCCATCCTCCTTGTCTCTTCCAGAGTCCCCCCAGACCTCCAGCCGGCCTCCACCGCCCCCCCTGAGCGTAGGTAGGTGAGCTCTTGCGGACGCAGGCTCTAGTGTTGAGGGGAGAGGCGTGGGCTCCCTTCTACTGCACTCTCTTGCCCCGGCACAGACAGCATCCTGACCCATGGGCAGCGCTGCGCAGCCTTGGTGAGCGCCGGCTTTGACCTCCTGTTGGACGAGCGCTCGCCATACTGGGCCTGTAAGGGGACTGTGGCTGGAGTCATCCTGGAGAGGGGTAGGGATCGCCCCAGCCCCAGCCCTGGTCTCCTGGGAAGGGCCCCCTTGAGCTGCTTGCCTTAGGCTGGGCCCTCTCTGCCCTCCCTGCACAGAGATCCCGGGTGCCAGGGGCCATGTGAAGGAGATCTACAAGCTGGTGGCCCTGGGCACCGGCAGCAGCTGCTGTGCCGGCTGGCTGGAGTTCTCGGGCCAGCAGCTCCATGACTGCCATGGCCTGGTCATCGCCCGCAGGGCTCTGCTGAGGTGAGGGGCTGTGGGGTGGGCGCCTGACAGCAGCCTTTGCCAGGTCAAGGTCGTCCCCAACCACCCTCTACCTGTCACTCCTAGGTTCTTGTTCCGGCAGCTCCTGCTGGCCACACAGGGGGGCGCCAAGGGCAAGGAGCAGTCCGTGCTGGCCCCCCAGCCAGGGCCCGGACCCCCATTCACCCTCAAGCCCCGCGTCTTCCTGCACCTCTACATCAGCAACACCCCCAAGGGCGCGGCCCGTGACATCTAGTATGCAGGGCCCCTGGGGCAGGTGGGGGATGGGGTGCCCTCGGTTGGGCTGCTGGGTGGGGGCCAGGGTCAGAAGAGTGGCCCTGATGCTGGTGTCTGTCCCCTCCCGGCCTGCAGCCTGCCCCCCACCTCAGAAGGCGGCCTCCCGCACAGCCCGCCCATGCGCCTGCAGGCCCACGTGCTCGGGCAGCTGAAGCCTGTGTGCTACGTGGCGCCCTCACTGTGTGACACCCACGTGGGCTGCCTCTCAGCCAGTGACAAGCTGGCACGCTGGGCCGTGCTGGGGCTGGGTGGTGCCCTGCTGGCCCACCTGGTGTCTCCACTCTACAGCACCAGCCTCATCCTGGGTGAGCACGTGGCGAGGGCTGCAGGGTGGGAGGGGAGGGCAGGGAGGTCACTCACCTTGTCCTGTCCCTTCTGCCCTACAGCTGACTCATGCCACGACCCTCCGACTCTGAGCAGGGCCATCCACACCCGGCCCTGCCTGGACAGTGTCCTGGGGCCATGCCTGCCACCTCCCTACGTCCGGACCGCCCTGCACCTGTTTTCAGGGCCCCCAGTGGCCCCCTCTGAACCTACCCCTGACACCTGTCATGGCCTGAGCCTCAACTGGAGCCTGGGGGACCCTGGCATCGAGGTTGTGGATGTGGCCACTGGGCGCGTGAAGGCCAAGTGAGAAGGGCTCCGTGGGGCCGGGCTGAGGAGGGGTCCTGGTGATGGAGGGCTCCATGCATGAACTTCCTCACCTCAGGTCTAACCCCAGCTCAACCCCTTAGCTCAGCCTCTTGGCTCAACCCCTTACTAGCTCTGTAGTGGTGGTGACACCACTGCCTGTCCTGTGACTCCTGTGACAACGTCACAGTGTGAGAGGAGGTAGTGTGAGGTGTGTGGCAGGCCTGCTGGTCCAGCTTGTATCTCTCTTATCTCAGTGGCATCCTCTCTTCATCCAGTGCTGCCCTGGGGCCTCCCTCCCGTCTCTGCAAGGCATCCTTTCTCCGGGCGTTTCACCAGGTGGCCAGGGCTGTGGGGAAGCCCTACCTCCTGGCCTTGAAGACCTACGAGGCTGCCAAGGTCGGTCCCCATCAGTCCTGGTCCCTCTCCAGCCCTGCAATCCCTGCCCCCTGCAGGCACCTTCTCTCACCCACCTCTCATCTCCTGCCCTAGGCTGGGCCCTACCAGGAGGCTCGCCGGCAGCTCTCTCTCCTCCTGGACCAGCAGGGCCTGGGGGCTTGGCCCTCGAAGCCACTGGTGGGCAAATTCAGAAACTGAAGCCGGCCTCGGCGGGCCCAAGGTCCCGGAGCCAAGCTGTACCCCTGCTGGGGGAGTGCCCTGTCTGAGGAGGGTTGTGGGGGAGAACGTGGGTTGTGCAGGGTGAAACTGGGGCTGGAGGGAAGGAGGAGCCTGCTGTGGTTGGGACGCTGCTGCTGCACATTTGGGCTTGAATAAAGAAGTATTTCTGGTGACTGTGTAGTTGGCTGTGTGTGTTTTGGGGTGGCCAGGGGCCTTTTGTTTGTGGGTAGAGCCCCTCACGCCTCCTTTGGGAAGCCCTGTGTTCACTGGGCTCCCACCTGGATCCTCTCACTGAGCCACTGAATTGTCACCCCAGCCCCTGTTTACAGGGCTGGAGGCAGGTTTAGGAGGGGAGGTGACCTCCCCTGGTTCCTCCTGTTTTCCAGCCTGTGTGCTGGGGGAGGCCACTGAGGCCATGGGTTGTGGGGGTTGTAAAGGGCGGGAGGAGGGCAGGCTGCTTGGGTATGTGAGCATTTTGTCCTCTGGCCACGACTGGGGCTCCAAATCCTTGCCTTTCTGGGCCCCTAGGATTGGGGGGAGTGGCAGAGAACACCCTTCCCTGGTCAGAGCTTCAGCTGCCGTGGCCCTCGATGGTGCTGTGGGTGTCGGGGCAGCCCCGTGCTGAAGGATGTGGGGAGGGCATGAGCAGAATCAGTCCTTTCCCTGGACTGCCTGACTGTTTGACCTGGGCAAGTCATTGGACTGCTAGATCTTGTGTCTTCCACTGTGGAGAGGGACAGTGCTCCTGCCCGGTGTGGGCTTGGCAGTTCTCTCTCCTTTTCCCCCAGGGTAGCATAGTAAGCCCACATGGCAGTCAGGCGCTCTGTTGACTCTGGATGGGGAGAGAAGATGGTAACACTAAAAGCATGCGCGTGTGCGCACACATACACACACACCCCTGGAGCTTCGCCGGCATGGGCATTATATCCGTTGAGCGAGGAGCACAGCAGCTTTGAAGTCCAGGGACCTGGGGCCAGGGATGGTAGAGGACCATGGCCAGCCCTGTGACCCCCACCCCGTGACTCCCTCCCTGCATCTCCAGCAGTTGCAGGGTTCAGAACCACAGGCTGCTCTCCCCTGTGGGCCTTGGGACACTGGTCAAAGATGGTGTGATGGTTAATTTTGTGTCAACTGGGCTAAGGGATGCCCAGATGGCTGGTAATGCATTATTTCTAGGTGTCTGTGGGGTGTCTCTGGGAGGGATTGACACCTGATCATTGGGCTGAGGAAGGAGATTGCCCTCCCCAGTGCAGGCAGGCACCATCCAATCCATTGAGGGTCTGAAAAGAACAAGCAAGCAGAGGAAGGTGAATTCACTTTCTCCGCTGGAGCTGGGACATCACAACTCCTGGGTCTGTGGCCTTCAGACTTGGACCAGGACTCACACCATTGGTTTTCCCAGTTCTCAGGCCTTTGAGTGTGGGCTAGAACACCATCACCCGGGCCCCCAGCACTCACAGCAATTGGTGGGGCTGCTTAGACTCCATATCGTGTGAGTCAATGCCTCACAGTACAACTCTATATATCCTGTTGGTTCTCTTTCTCTAGAGAACCCTGACCAGTGCAGACAGCCCCCTCCAGAGCCGTCACTCAGGGCCAGGCCTGATGTTGAAGTCGTGAGATTGAGTCCTCTCCCTCCAACCCCTCTTGTCTCTGCCACTGGGCATGTGTGGCCATGGCCATGGCCATGGCCAGCCACTTAACCTCCGTGCATGTGCGTCGACTCTTCTAGAGAAATAATCAGAGGGCTGGTCCCAGGGGTGTGTTCCTGGCCAGCCTGCCCGTCTGCAGGCCTAGGCTTTCCCTCTGCTTTCACTGGGCTCATGCTGTCTCCTTTTCCCACAGTGATGATGACATGGGAGAATCTGAGAGAGGTGGGGTGGAGGAAACAGCACCAGTGGACAGATCAGATAGCTCCAGCAGGCCCCAGCCAGAAGCGTGGTGTATCTGTGCTGTTTTAACCTCCCACAGCTCGCCATGATAGATGCAATCATTGCCTCAGTGTACAGGTGAGGAAACTGGCAAGGTGCAGTTAGGTAACTTCTGGAAGAGCACCCAGCACCTGAGGTGGGCTGGAGCTGTGGTAATGTGCAGGCCGACGGCCTTCCAAGCCGTTCAATTGCAGTCACCACCCACAGCTGAAGCTGGATTTCCTTACATGACCTTGGATGAAACTCTGAGCCCCAGTTTGCTCATTTATAAAACAAGGACTAGGTGATATCCTTCCTAACGTTCCCTCGTGTTCTCTGCTCTGCTCTTTCCCGACTGCCGCAGGAGGTCAGGAGGATGCCCAGAGCTGCAGGCTGGCAGGCTTCAGGGGGGCGAGGCTGGAGCTGGGAGCATCAGGTTTCGAAAGTGGCAGCAGGGAGGGCCGGAGAGGGGAGCTGAGGCAGGAGGAGCTGCAGTTCACATGTGCAAAGGACAGGAGGTGAGCCCTTGCCGAGGGAGGAGGACTACAGAGAGGTGTTTGCACCAGCAGGAAAGGTCCGCAGGGCCTGGAAAGCCAGGAAAGCACCAATTTCTTGTTTGAGAAAACAAAGATTTTTACCTTAGGTTTTGCTTTTTTAAAAAAACAAAAAACAAACAAAAAAACCACTTCTCAGGCCAACATTGAAATAATTATTTCTCACTCTTTTTTTTCAGGGATGGAGCAGGGGGTTTAAAAACACCCAAACCTATTAATTAGCCTGTGTATTACACATTGTTTTCCCAGGAAATAATTTAAATTGATTTTCTTTCTGTACTGCAGTAGTAACTACAACCAGATCTGGAAATATACCAGCCATTTCAAACTTCCGTTGGATGCAATGAGCCTTTTGGTGTTCATTAATCACATAATCACTGGGTAAATCAGTTATTCAAATTGGCATTAACTCTGTTGTGTTCCGGCAAATAAATAATATTTGTCCCCACATTGCATAAATCTGCTTGTCCAATCCTTTCCTCCCAAGACAGTCTTTTCACGACACCAGAGTCGCTCGGTTCTTTTGACTCAGCTTGTTTGTTACTGCGGGGTGATGATGAAAGCTACTTTTGAAATGCAGATCTGTTAATGCCTAGTTGGCCGTATCTCCTCTGGGTGAAGTTTTGCCAACAGCAGCATATTCAAATTGGGAAGTGATGTAATTTCACTTGGCACAAGTCAAATTACCTCCGAGTGCCATCCTGTCACTCCATCCTTCCTCCTGCAGCCCAGGGCACCCTCTGTTCCGTGCTGACCCGTGCGTTGTCTTCACTCCGGGACAGAGTGTGCCAAGTGGAAGTGTGGACCTGGAAAGTCTCTGGGAGGCCAGGGCGCCGCTCTGTCTCCCCAATCCTCAGTTTCCCCACTTGCCAACTGAGACGGGGTCACAGACATGCAGCCTGCAAGGCCATGGTGAGATGAGGTGGGAAGTGCACGCTGCACTGTTCATGGCTCTCTTGGCAGCCCTCAGCAGTGACTGTCATCAGTCCTGTCTGCCATTAGCTCCTAGCATGGGGCCTTGTCCATTTCTCTCCATCTCCTCCTGTGGGGCCTCCCACATAGAAGGTGCCCAACAAGCAAGCACTGAATGGAAAATTAGTTAACTAGAGGATCACTTGCAGGAGTGTAACCCACCCCTATATAGAGAGAGACCAGAAGCCCTGTCCTCAAAACCCTTTAGAAGACAATTTGAAAATTTCAGTTGTGCTCTGAGCCCTTTTCCTCTGCCCTGGAGCAGTCAGTGAGGACCTAGAGAAAAATTAGTGAGTGTCTAGAAGAAAGTAAATTGTTACCTTGCCTCATGGTTTAGTGGTGAAATTACCTTTTAAAAATTACAGTTTTAAAGATACATATATATTTTCTGTCACCCAGGCTGGAGTGCAATGGAATGATCTCATCTCACTGCAACTTCAGCCTCTCAGGTTCAAGTGATTCTCCTACCTCAGCCTCCTGAGTAGCTGGGACTACAGGTGCCCACCACCATATCTGACTAATTTTTGTATTTTTAGTAGAGATGGGTTTTCACCATGTAGGCCAGGCTGGTGTCAAACTCCCGGCCTCAAGTGATCCACCAGTCTCGGCCTCCTAAAGTGCTGGGAGTACAGGCATGAGCCACCATGCCTGGCCTAAAAGATATTTTTTTAAATCGATTTTCCTGGGTCTCCAGAGGCAGCAGGATGAAGTACCCTTCCCTCTGTGCCATGCAGAAATATTAACTCAAATTGGATCGCACACCTGATGCAAGAGCCCAAACTGCAAAACTCTCAGAAGAAAACATAATAGTACAACTTTATGACCTTGAGTTAGGCAAAACTTTCTTAGATATGTCATCAAAAGCATCATGACAAAAGAAAAAATAGAAAAATTGGGACTCCATCAAAATAAAAACCTTTGTGTTTCAAAGGGCATCATCAAGAAAGTGAAAAGAAAACTCACGGAATAGGAGGATATTCTTGCAAATCATATATCTGATAAGGGACGTATGTCTACAGTATATAAAGAACTCTTACAGCTCAGTAATAAATTCAACCCAATGAACGGGCAAAGGATATGAATGGACATTTCTCCAAAGAAGATACTCAGGCCAGGCACGGTGGCTCAGGTTTGTAACCCCAGCACTTTGGGAGGCCAAGGCAGGTGGATCACTTGAGGCCAGGAGTTCGAGACCAGCCTGGCCAACTTGGTGAAACCCCATCTCTACTAAAGATATAAGAAAAAATTAGGGCCAGGCGCGGTGGCTCAAGCCTGTAATCCCAGCACTTTGGGAGGCCAAGACGGGCAGATCATGAGGTCAGGAGATCGAGACCATCCTGGTTAACACGGTGAAACCCCATCTCTACTAAAAAATACAAAAAATTAGCCAGGCGTGGTGGTGGGCTCCTGTAGTCCCAGCTACTTGGGAGGCTGAGGCAGGAGAATGGTGTAAACCCGGGAGGCGGAGCTTGCAGTGAGCCGAGATCACACCACTGCACTCCAGCCTGGGCGACAGAGCGAGACTCTGTCTCAAAAAAAAAAAAGAAAGAAAGAAAGAAAAAATTAGCCTGGCGTGGTGGCAGGTGCCTGTAATCCCAGCTACTCAGGAGGCTGAGGCAGGAGAATCACTTGAACCTGGAAGGCAGAGGTTGCAGTGAGCCGAGATCGTGCCACTGCACTCCAGCCTGGGTGACAAGAGCAAAATTCCATCTCAAAAACAAATAGTATTAACAAAGA